CTTTTTGATGGCTCCATTGTGTGTGTGTGTGTGTATACATACACAAACATACATATACATACCATACATATAATATATATATATACATACACACACACACACACACACACGCATACATATATATACTACATCTTCTTTATCCATTCATCTATCGATGGACATTTGGGCTGTCTCCATACTTTGCCTATTGTTGATAGTGCTGCTACAAACATGGGGGTCCATGTGTCCCTTCGAAACAGCACACCTATATCCCTTGGATAAATACCTAGTAGTGCAATTGCTGGGTCGTAGGGTAGTTCTATTTCTAATTTTTTGAGGAACATCCATACTGTTTTCCAGAGTGACTGCACGAATTTGCATTCCCACCAACAATGCAAAAGGGATCCTCTTTCTCCGCATCCTCACCAACATCTGTTGTTGCCTGAGTTGTTAATGTTAGCTACTCTGACAGGTGTGAGGTGGTACCTTATTGTGGTTTTGATTTGTATGCTGAGTGATGCTGATGCTGAGTGATGTTGAGCATAAAATCTGTATTTCTGAAGACTTCTCAATTATTTTGGCCCCATCATTAAGCAGTTTAAAGAAAATACAAATCTCGAAGCAGGCAAAAACATACTATGCATTGGCGTACCTGTAAGTCTGAAACCAAGAAACAATACGAAAAGCTACTTTTGCACTTAGTTCCTTTTTTACTTTGAGGTTTTCAGGATTTCTGCCTAAGCAAACCACCTTAGTTTTCTTTTTAAGATTTTATTTTTAAGAAATCCCTACACCCAAAGGGGAGGTTTGAACTTACAACCCCAAGGTCAAGAGTTGCATGCTCCATGAACTGGGCCAAGAGGCCCCAAGATTCCCAGTTTTATAACAGGTTTATTTAAAAACTCTTGGGGGGCGCCTGGGTGGCGCAGCCGGTTAAGCGTCCGACTTCAGCCAGGTCACGATCTCGCGGTCCGTGAGTTCGAGCCCCGCGTCAGGCTCTGGGCTGATGGCTCAGAGCCTGGAGCCTGTTTTGGATTCTGTGTCTCCCTCTCTCTCTGCCCCTCCCCCATTCATGCTCTGTCTCTCTCTGTCCCAAAAATAAATAAATGTTGAAAAAAAAATTTTAAAAACTCTTGGAAAGCCAATAACCTGTTAGTATACTAAATTATTCTTCAACCCCATGGGACTTGAGTTACATGATATGATTAGCACTTTTTTGTAAGTAAGCTCTACGCCCAAAGCCCAAAGCGGGGGCTGGAGATTACAACCCTGAGATCAAGAGTTGCACACTCTGCCAACTGAGGTAGCCAGATGCCTCAAATATTAACACTTTATGTCTTACTCTTTTCCCCAGTTCCAGACCCACTAGCCTTTTCCTTCTCTAAACACTGCCCCAAATTGTTCTTTGTCCCAGGGAAATCACCTGTTTCTAATCCATCAGGCTGACCGGCCATAGCTTCACTGGCTGAAGCTCATCCTTTTGTCAAAGACCACATGGGGCACCTGGGTGGCTCAGCTGGTTAAGCGTCTGACTTCGGCTCAGGTCACGATCTCACTGTTTGTGGGTTCAAGCCCCGCATCAGGCTCTGTGCTGACAGCTCAGAGCCTGGAACCTGCTTCCAGTTCTGTGTCTCCCTCTCTCTACCCCTCTCCTGCTCACACTATGTCTCTCTCTACCTCTCAACAGGCATCTTACCCCTGACAGTGTGTGTCTCACCCACTGGAAGCAATGACATCAGTTGCCTCTGAATATTCCTTCCATGAGAAGATAGGAACCGTCCTCAGCTCCTGCTAGCCCAGAGCTGCTCCAACTTTAACATGTATACAAATCCTGTAGGATTCAATTAAAATACATATTCTGATTTAGAAAGTCTGGGCAAAACTGAGATTTTACATTTCTTTTTTTTTTAAGGTTTATTATTTTTGGGAGAGGCAGGGAAAGAGAGAGTACACAAGCTGGGGAGGGGCAGAGAGAGAGACACACAAACGCAGACTCTAAAGCAGGCTCCAGGCTCTGAGCTGCAAGCGTGAAGCCCAACGTGGGGCTTGAACCCACAAACCGTGAGATCATGACCTGAGCTGAAGTCAGACGTTTGACTAAGCCACCCAAGTGCCCCAAGATAATACTTTAATGCAATATTTTAAAAATAACAATTAATGTAAAAAATGCATGATGAATAAAATATCAGCATTTAAAATAAAGACAGGATCCAACAACACCAGTATTAGAGCGAGGCAAGTAAGGCCAAATCCTATGGGTTGTAGGGTCAGACCACACTCAGTCTAGGGTGGGTATTAAGCGACCGGTGGCACTTAGGTTTTGTGCCTACTTCCTGGCCACAAGTGAGTCTGGAAGAGCAGCATATTCTGGCTAAGCTATTCTGAGGAAAACCTTAGTATTTATTAGAGTTAGGGTAGAGATAAATCACTATAGAACTATAGAGAATAGAGGACAAAATACCTCTCGTGAAACTGGGGAGGCTCCAAGGAAAAGATAAGGTTTGAGCTGGGGAAAAGGGAAAGCAGAAAGAATATTGGATTTGCAATCAGAAAATGGGGTTCCTTTCTTTGGTGCTTGCTTTACTAGCTGTGACAATTCAGGCACGTCACTTTGCTTCTCTGAGTGTAACTCTTTATGTGTTTACACTTTATGTGTAAAAACTCATCCTACGTGACGTGCCAAAGACTTGTGAGGATGAACTGAGATTAAATGAGTGAATGGGGTTTCTAAACTGAAAAGCACTATGCAAACATCTTGGACTGTTATTAAGTCCATAAGGAGGGACAGGATTTTGACAAAAGGCATTGAGGGAGAAGGGCCTTTGGGCAGAGAGAATGAAAGGTGAAGTGGTTTTTGTACGAGGCTAGACAAAAGGAAACTGGGCTTTGAAGACTAGGAAGATGAAAGCAGTCAAGGAATGCCTGTGTTTAAAGACCATTAAGGAAACAAAGCCCAGGACCCCAAGCTTGAAGGGTAAAACCAAGCTCTGTGGTCTCACGAGTACTCAAGAGTGAGACACCTTACTCTCACATTTTGCTTCCTAGATGGTCTTTTTGAAGGCAGGCAGGCACTATGTCTTACTTATCTTTGTTTCCAGAAGCCTGACACTTTCTGGCCAAGGGCACTGTGCTCCGTTCTCAAGGAATGAATGAGTGTCCGTCCAAAGGCTTGGGACCTCTACCCCAAGGGGTGGTACAGATTAAGTGGTTGGGTAGCTTTGAAAAGCAGGTTCTTCTGTGCACGCTGGGATGCTCTCCTGATAGCCTGGTGTTAAGAGAGCTCACCAGATCCTAGGTAAGGACGGCACTCTTAAGGAAGAGTAAGATGGGGCCAAGGGCTCTAGCCGTCTTATTGCTACGATGACTGAAAATCAAGGGAAGGTGGGGGGATGACGACTACACGTGTTAACATTTAATAGAACTACAGATGAGTGTGAACACGCAAGCACACACAGACGCACAAATGAGTGCACGGGAAACTGGTTAAATCTGAGTAAGGTCTGCAATCTAGTCAATTGTATTGGCGTGGTCAGTTGCATTGTGCCAATGTCAATTTCCTGGTTTTGACAATGTAGCATAGTTACGTAAGCCGGTGAGGGAAGCTGGGTGGGTGATGGGTATATCGAGACTTCCTTGTATTAATTTTACAGCTTTTTGGAAGTCTAAAATTATTTCAAAATAAAGCAAAGAAACCAGAAACAAATAGAGCCTCCCTCTCGAGCCCAGCCTCGCCCACCCCGACAGCGCCCCACACCTCACACTTCGCCCTCCGTACCCCCTCTCCTGCTCAGGTAAGGCGGGGGGAGCGGGAGCTGCAGGGCCGCGCACGCGCAGTCCTGAAATCGCCCGCCGCGTCTCTAGGAAGTCACGCTTGCGCAGTCTTGGCCCTTGCCCGCCGCGCCTGCCCCACTACGCGGCGGGGTACTCGGCCGCCTTGGCCCCTTCGCGCTGCCGTCTTTTCCGGCAGTTGGAGCGCTTCCTGTTGTCCTCACCCGCAACCGCCCCTCGGCCCGGACTCCAGAGTCCCTCAGGCGTCCCCTCGTCGCTTCTGGTCCGCCGGGTGCTGCCGCTGGGGCTTCGCCCGTCCGCCCGTCGAGAGACATCGCTGGCCGCGCCGGCGTCCGCGGCTGGTCGCCGCCCCCAGCCCTTCTTCCCCCGGGGCTCTGGTGAGTGTCTCGCTGCCACTGTCTTCAGGCCATCCCAGGCTTTTCCCCTCGTCTCCTCCCGACTCTTCTTGGGCTTCTCCCTTCCCGCCGACGCCCTCTTTCCAGCCCTGTCCTGTCGGCCCCTCGGCCGCCCTCCTCAGCCTCCTGACAGTCCCCCTCCTCTGGGTTTCCCGAGGGTCCCCTGTCAGTCCTCTCCACGTTTTCCCAGTCCCAGGCTCCCCACCCCATTCTTTCTTTCTTTCTTTTTGTGCAGCTGGGGCGGGGAGCCAGGCTGTCTCTCTTTTCCATGTTGCCAGCTTTGTCTACTCGTTGCAACAGCTCAGTCTCCTCTGGGACCTCAGTCATTGCCAGTTTTCACTTCTTTTGCTTTTTTTCTGGGGTCTGAGAACCTAAGAGCTGTTGTGTGAGGCAGAGGTGTGGAAAGCCCACCTTGGGGTGTGGTTCCTTTGAGTCCGCTCCCTTTCCGGTGGCTAGTCTTAGGGTACTGGGCTTCAGATCATCTTAAAATCACAGGAAAATTGAGTGGAGATTTTTTTTTTTTTTTTTTTTAAAGAGTAGAAAAGAAAAGTCGATAAGGACGGGAGGAAAGTCTGTGTCAGAAAGTGTATGGAACAGCTAGTAGAGAGACCAGATCTCCCGGCTGCACTTCGAATTGACGGAAAGACACAAAGAGACACTTGTTGTTTTTGAAACGTACAGAGGAAGGTTGGCGCGAGGTAGACCTTGTGCTTCCTCCCCCTTTCAGCTCACCTTGGCTCTGAATTCGGATTAGCCAGGCAGCAGATGTGGTTTCCCTAAACGTAAAACATGACCACGATAATGGGCTCCACTGTCTACCCCAGACATTCGAGAGCGGCTTGCTCACAAGGGGACCAGAGCACTATCCTCCAACTTTGTAGAGAAAACCACTTCACGTGCCAACTCCATCCCTACCAAACATACGTAGCCCCAGCTCCTAGTAATGGTCATAAAAGATGAGTGCCTTCTTCGTAAATCTTTATAAGGTGCTTACTAAGTGCGTAGCATTGTGCATGAGACTGGAGAAGGATATTAAAAGTACTTGCTTCCCATTGGCGTACAGTTCAGGAGGAGAAATTAGGATGCGTGCTGCTGCTGCTGCTTCTTCTTCTTCTTCTTTTTAAAGTTACTTTTTGTTTACTTTTGAGAGGGAGAGAGAGAATCCCAAGCAGGCTTGTCAGCACAGAGCCCGATGTGGGGCTCGATCCCCTGCAAACTGTGAGATCAAGACTGGAGCTGAGATGGAGAGTCGGAGGCTTGACTGACTGAGCCACCCAGATGCCCCAAAGATGGATGACTGTTAAGGAGTAGTCTTAGCCTCCGTGTTCATTTGCCCAGATGGGAGGTTCTGGATTGTCAGTCACAAAGAAAGAATTAGTGAGAGAAGGGGTGTTCATAGAGGTAACAGTACCATTGTAAAGTCAGTCAGCCAGGCATAGCCATCTGGGTTGAATAAAACAGTGGTTTTCATGTGATCTGCTTTTATGTTTGCAGTACCTACCCCTGCCTTACAAAGATCCAGTTCTCTTATTAAATTTTTAAAACTTTTAAGGGGCTCCTGGGTGGCTCAGTTGGTTAAGCGTCGGACTTCGGCTCAGGTCCTGATCTCAAGGTTCGTGGGTTCAAGCCCTGCATCAGGCTCTGTGCTGACAGCTCAGAGCCTGGAGCCTGCTTTGGATTCTGTGTCTCCTTCTCTCTCTGCCCCTTCCCACGCACGTTTTGTCTCTCTCTGT